TCCATGTGTGACCGCAGCACCGGGCATTTTGTTTTATTGGTCCTGGCTTTCTCTAGTCCTGGGGCTTTTTTACACCACTTGTCCCAAGTAGGCTGGATCGTCCTCACTAGCAGCTGAACATGGGACTTGTAGTTGCATCCTTCTAGAAGGGGGTTGGGGTCTCCATTTCCCACCCCCTTTTTTTCATGGAGTGGAATGGATTCTTGCCACTACAGATCCAACCAAGTTCCTGGGCTTAGACCAGTTTGTTGTTTTTTTTACAAATTCGGTGCCTTTAAGAGGGGTGGGCTTCAACTCCCAGAATCCCCTAGCCAGCCAACGATATCCCAGGCTACCAGCACATTCAGCTCTCTTAACAAGAGTTTGGTCAATTAATTAAGGTAGAGGTCTCCAAATTTGAACTTTTAAAACTTGGGGGACTTCAAGCCGCAGAATTCCCTGGTTAGTCCTGGTTGTTAGTCCACAAGTCTTAAAAGTTGCCGAGTTTGGAGCACCCTGCATTATAGGAACCCATCAGGAGTTGCCATGGGGGTGGGGAAGAGGAATTGCAGCCTTTGCAGCCAGGTGACCCTTTGGGGGGGCAGGTAGAGCATGTTTTATGCACGGCAAGGGTTTGTGAACTCAACATGTTGCACACATCCAGTTTGGACACAACTAAACTGCAAGATGGCTGTGTGATAAAATGACCAGACCAGATACTTGAAAATTTGAAAAAACATTGCATTAGACCCAACCGGTATAGCTTGGAAGCCTGTCACCCCTTGTGCTGTGTTGTCATTGTTGGTCAGGAATCGGTGGGTCCTTATTTGTGTGGTTAGCACCAGCGCCTAAATCTCAAAAGAGGCCACAAACGTGTGTCGAAAGAGCTTGCTTTGTTGCAAAGATCACCTGAAGAAATTCGGGTGCCACCTGGTTCGCACACTGCACTGAATGTTGTAATGGCCTGTTTATTTTTCTTCATGTTTGTGTGAACCAGCCCACTTGTGGTTTGTCAACCAGGTTTGTGGCTTATCGTTTTCAGCCAGTTTGGGCTCAGTTATGAAGAGTTTCCCAGTTCAAGTTTTCCTTGACTTACAACCACAATGGAGTCTAAACTTTCTGTTGCGAAGTGAGCCATTTCTTAAGTGAGTTTTTGCCCATGTTACAACCTATTTTCTCACAGAGGTTAGTGAATCACTGCAGTGTTAGTCACACGTTCTTAAGCGAATCTGGCTTCCCCATGTGCTTCGCAGAAGGTCCCAAAAGGGGATCCCTCATTAATATGAGTCAGTTGCCTAGCATCTGAATTTTGGTCAGGTGACCAATAAGTCACTTTTTAAAGTGCCACTGTAACTTCAAATGGATGTAAGTTGAGGACTACTTGTATGAATCGAAAGATGTCTGGCTTTTGATGGCATTTTGTGAGATGAAAATGGATCTAGCTAGCAGATCCTGGGTTTGGGCTAACACCGCTCCCTTCCTACAATGTCTTAATTAGCATTCCCCCCCCCCCCCCAATACCCCAAAAAGACCCTTTCCTGAAAATTTGGCAAAGCTTGTTCCTTTTACAAAGGATATGCTGCACAGCTGCATGAATTATATTGGTTAAGTGGAACTTGATGCTTTGAAGAGACTCTTGTCCAGCTGGATTTTTGCCTAAGACAAAAAACACGCGAAGAAAATAATTAAATAGCCTGTCCTAAGTTTAGTTCTAACGTTATGGCCGGTTTCCATGTGGAATTGTCACGACACAAATGTCACGTTTTGGACTGGCTTAGGACATCTCCTGCCTTTGGGAGAACATTTTTATGGCTGGAAGTGACTTTAGTCTCATGAAATAATAAACAGCTAATCATGAAGGACGCCCGGGAACCTGCTGGACGGCAAGCTCTAAAAATTATTGGGAGAGGGGATGATCAAATAAATTCTGCTGATTATTTAGGTGAGGTCATTGCTGATCCAGAGTGCTTAAGTCCTTAAACTGTTAAAGTAGCTCATGAAAATATTGATTGAGAAGATCCTAGCGGTTAGCCAAATGAGTCCAAAGCTTGGATGAAGTCTCATCAGTTGCTTCTCTTTGGGGGAAATGTTGGGGTGGTTTTCTTCCAGACATTTCATTACCAAAATAGGTGACATCACCAGCGCTAGAAAAGAGTGAGTTTGTGGAGAAGAGGAGGAGGAGGAAGACTATGGGGTCCTTGATGCTCTCTGAGCTGGGTGGTTTTCTTGCAAACATTTCATGACCCAACTAGGTAACATCATCTGTGCTAGAAGAGGGGGGTTGTAGGGAGAAGGAGAAGGACTGTGGGATCCTTGCTACTCTCTGAGGTTGGAGGTTTTCTTGCAGATGTTTCATTACCAAAGTAACTAACATCATCAGTGCAAGAAAACCACCCAGCTCAGAGAGCAAAGGACCTCACAGTCCTTCTCCTCC